AAAGCCTGGGTTGCGAGGGCCGAGGCAAGCTGCCACGGCTGTGAGGGCCTAGGCAAGCCTCTGTGGCTGTGAGGGCCAAGCCCCTTGCAGGAGTTTCATGCATCAGGCCTCTAGTATAATTTATACTTCTATCATGAAAGGGGTGGGGCCACCTTCTTCTTCAGTGTCTGAAGGTTTTGCTTTGGCTTTTTCATCCCATAGATTATGTGGGAGTTGTCACAGAAATTGCTTCGGTCCACATTATTTGAGTCCCCGCTGGTTGACCATGCCTGGTCTGACCCGAATGCCCATGCCCTTCAGGAGGGGGCAGTTGAGTTGTCCCTGGGCGGGCAGCTGTGCAGGTTTCACAGTGCAGCTGGGGCCAGCCTCCCTGGGCCGGTATCTCTGGCACTTGCCCAACTTTGTCAGTGGGTTCCATTGAAGGCCCTGTGAACTCTTTCTGTTCTTTAGAAATTTTGGAAACTTGGACCTGAAAAGTGAAAGAGGGCATGAATCATAACTGGTATGTGCTTTCATCCCTCCCAACCCCTTTCTTCTCTCTTTTTTTCCTAGTGTTGTCTATCTTTTCCTGCTTTCTTCCTCTTTAGCACAGGTTCCTGGGGTGGAGGAGTCAGCTGTTCCTGAAGCCCTAAGTTGCTGGTACAGGTCCTGGTGAGTGAGCTTTTGCCCCAGATCCAGTTCAGGCTTGGGACTGGTCTAGATGAGACCATGCTGGGTTCTGGGGGTGCCAACTGCATGATCTTGGGCACAGAGCTCAGCCCTGCTGGGCCCTTTCCCCATGAGTAAAGGGTGGGAGCAGGCCAGGTGAGTTGAGAGTGATGTTCCTTTGGCTCCAAAGGCCACGATTCCTGTTAGAGACGTCGGTGCTTATCACTCAAGGTAGAGTTCTGAAAGCCATCTGTGCTGCCCCTGGGGATGACACTGAGTTACAGCAGACAGTTATTTTTAAGCTAGAACCTGTAATATTGAAACAGACCCTGCTGTTTCTTTGTGAGTGTGGTCCTGTCAGCTCCCGGTGCACACGTGCTCTTTGCGCACCCATGGTGAATCACATTGTGAGGGGACTTGGAGGACATGCATGCTCCCCACTTCTGTTTTCTGCATGTGCGCTCCTCTTTCAGCTCCGTGAGCTAATTAAGTAGCCATTTGCAGACATGAAATACCACAGTCCCATCCAATGGGTTTCCAGATTAGATTCTCCCATGGAGGCAGACCAGGGAGAAAACCTGCCTGCAGTGGGTGTTTCAGGGTCCAAGAGGAAGTAGGACTTTGATTGCTTTCTTCCTGTTAAATGTTAGGTTCTTACCGCTGCTTCCTCCTAAAGCTTAGAACTTTCAGCAAAGGACGTAAATATGGAAATTATGCCTAATCCTCATTTCAGCTCACTCTGAAACGTGCTGTCTGAAGCAACCTGCGTGGGCTCGTGGACCAGTGTGTCTCCATGGACACTGGCCTGTACCTGTGTGGTTGTATTCCCACTGTTTGCTGTTTCTTCCTGGCAAAGTGTGTGTTTTGCCTTTTGGCTACCTGGTTACTTGCTGGCAATGCACTTAGATCTGGGTTCTGAACTGTCATCTCAGCCTTTGCAGCCTCTGCCCCTCAAATGTGGTTTCTGCTTTGTCCCAGGATTTGGTCCCAGCTGCACATCCTGAAGTCTCTTTCATGGGAACTGAGATATGGAACTGGATTTGTCAGGCCTTTGCTTGGATATGTCACCGGCTCTGGTCCCTGTGCTGCTTCACTCCAACTTTCTTGTCTTACTACTATGGCGTTTGTGTGGCACATCACTTGCACACATAGGGTGCTGCTGCAAGTATTACATGGAGTTGGGACGTCTTTTCTTTGTAATTAGATTTGAATCCTCCAAGACTAGGGGAGGACCGACATGCCTCTGTGTTCCCAAGCCGAGTCTTTGCCATGTGATCAGGTTCTTACCAACCACATGCCCGGGTCACACACCCAGGACTCAGTCTGGGCACCTGAACCAGGTAATTGCAGGACTCTGGGGCCAGTATTGGAGGCGGTGGTGCTTGTCTGTGTCTCGTGTCCCAATGTCCAGTCTGTTCTTGGTGGCCCTCATTGTTTGCTTCTGCTCAGAGACATCTCCCAGGCACTCTGTGCTGTTGAGTTCCATGAGGCCTGCCTATCAGGTCTGTCACTTGCCTTCTTTGAAAGCACCTGTTTTTGGCTTTTTGTCTCCCTCCTTTAGTGATGAGGTTACAGCTTCTGCTTATGGTGTCCTGCTGAATGAGTGACTTGGGAGGAGCTGAGGGAAGGATGTTTAGCTGTCAAGGGCTCATGCTGCTGCCCTGCCTTCTGCTGCAAGTGTCTGGTGACAGGCCTCTCTGCTTGCCCCTCTGCAGTGCCTGTGTGTTTAGACCCTCCTGCTGTTCGTAGGCAGTTTCACACAGTAGCTCCTTTCTGGAGAGGCAGGGCACCTTAATAGTAACCTAACGCTAGCCTAGAACACCTTCCTACTAGATCTAAGTCAGACTTTATTCCACAAGGATGTGGAACAGTCAGGGTTAGGGCTTGAGTGTACAGGTTGCCTCGATGTCAGCCAGCCCAGCCTGTCTGTGTATTGAGCACAGGCACAGTCCCTCTCCCTGACACCATGCGCTGTGCTCAGCTTCAGAAACTTTGTGGCCCATGCGCAGAAGTCGGTATTTTGTGGAAGAGCCACGCTCAAGGGGCCAAAGAGCCGCATGTGGCTCACGAGCCGTGATTTGCCGAGCCTCAGTTTGCCGACCACTGCCCTAGGCCAATGCCCGGAAATGTGGTGGGTGAGCCAAGACTCAGCCCAGCCATACAGTGATTTAAACTACACGGTGAAGCTTTTGAATACTCTGATACTGCGTGCCTTTAACTTACACTTGGGATTGATTGCATGGAGATTTAATGCATCTTCCAGCTTTAGTGTGGGTGGAGGAACGTATTATTAGGCATCATTTATTCATGTGGCGAGCATTGAGATCTTTAGGCCTGGGGCAGAGAGTAGCTTCATCCCGCATCGTGGAAGGTCTGTACTGAGCTGGATGCTGCCCTGAGCAATGGACCGCAGTGTGAAATGAGGACATTGGCTGGCGTCTGGGTGTCTTAACTGCTTCTGGTTTTAGCGTTTCACTCAGATGGAAGCTGAGGGTGGACATTGAGGAGTTGAGTGGAGGAGGATGGTTTAGGGATGTGTATTGGCTGGTGGAGCCAGAGAGAACAGCCCTTGTTTTCTCAGAGCCCAGCTGTGGAGCCCTGTACAGGTGGTACCCCCCAGCACCTGCTCTGACCCCGCCCATCCAGGAGCTGCAGCTGGACAGGCTTTCAGAAGTGCCTTTTGGTGTTTCTGAAGTGTTCACAGTGGGTTAAAAGTCAGAATATGTATATACTTTCCTGAATTTTTCAGTTTTTAAAATGAATCACTCCATTTATAAATGAAATCAATTTCACCTACTTCTTTTCAGGAGAAAGGTTTGAGACCCATTTCTCATCACTGTCTCGAGGTGTCCGTGTGAGTGGCAATAAAGGTGCTCACAGCCTTAGGTTTACAGTTCTGTGGTCAGGCCAGCTCGGGGTGGTTGTGCTCCAGGAGAAAAGCCTCAGTAGTTGGGCCTGGTGGCCTCAGTGGTCTGCCTTCATCCTTCTCTTGACTCAGGGAGTATGGACTGTCTTAACCCTCTAATATGCTGTTTTCTTATAACTATTGTGGTACCTTCACATGGCCAGAATTGGGGAGGGGGTGCTGACTGTGGGAGAGACTACAAATACCAGCATTTGGTTCTCTGAGCTGCCCAGGAACTGCTGTCCCTGCGGGTGCACAGTCAGAGCTGCTCCATCCCTCTCCCGTGGTGCAGTGCTGAGGGGCTCATGCAGGCCATAACAGAGGGCAATTTGGGGGCCTCACATGCCTTGCCCCCTTCCTCAGATGGTCTTCAGCTCTTGGGAGCACCTTTTTAGACCTTCTTGGGTCACTAATTTTGTCCTTAGATTTTTAACATCTCCAAAGACACACATGGGAGTTGTATAACACAAAATGTGAAGGCTGCACAAAATGTTACCCATTTTGGATACAAAGCAAGGTTTTATGACAGAGTCAGTAGACCTGAAGTTATTTGTTTTTGTCACGATTGAAAGTCTGCCTAAGGGACCTGATGGCTGCTCTATGCAACTTGTGTTTTCTCCCTTAAGTTGGTAAGGAAAGTACCTTCCATACCGTCATGGATAAGGACATGCCTCTCACGCAGGCCATTTGACACACTTGTCAGGAGCTAATTTTAAAGAAGCGTGATTCCTGGAAGTTTTGCCAGTTTTCTTTCTTTTCTCTCTGAGACAATGTGGAAAGTCTCAGGCTGTCTACATGGGTGGTGGACAGTCTCTGGACCCAGCTCCGCAGTAGCCGGAACACATAGACACCATTCCTAAAGACAGTCCAAGTCTAAAAGGGGATGCAACAGAAACCATCTCTTAAATATTGTCAGTTCCTGGCCAGGTATTTTTCTAAAAGGTTTGTGTCTTCGTCTGTTTCCTTGATTGTCCCACCCACATACCCACCGCTGCTTTAAGCTAAGCTGCCTCCTGGGGGCTGTTTCCCTCAATAGGCAGGCCATTTGTTAGTGATGGGCAAGAATGAGTAGCTCTTCTGTTGTTATTGTCTTTATGCTTGTGGTCTCTGCAGGAAGGCTGACTTCTGATAAACACAAGTAGGTATAATGTGGTTGCTGATGAAGTAAACCAAACAGCTAAGCCAGATTTTTGGCCAGAAATTGGTGTTTGTCAGTTTGGTAGCTTCACTTGGGGACTATTTTGGTTATTCTACCGAGGGTCTTTTATTTCCCGAGTCAGCAAATGAAAATGACCCATGATGGAATTAAATCCGTCATCTCTAAAGTAAGAAGGACACATACATTATCATTGTTTTCGAGGATTTGCTTCGTGGAGGTTCTGAATGTAAAGTGTTCTCATTGAAATTCAAGCAGTTTCTGAAGCCAAACACTTTCTCTGTCCTGCAGATGGACTTTCTGGCCGAGACCAGCCCGTGGAGCTGCTAAACCCGGCCCGTGTGAACCACATGTCCAGCACCGGTAAGTCAGCGCTCCCAGTCCTGGGGCCCGGCTCACCTGAAGTCTATTTTGAGGCTCCACTTTCCTGGGAGAGCACGGAGAGAAAGGAGTGGAGTTACCAGCTCTGTGAAGCTGGGGGACTTTTTTTCTGGGGTAAAATAGGCTGCCCATCCTGGGAATGAAATGGGCACTGACTGGATGTTACTTGAGTGGCAGAGATGGGCCATCCTCTCTGCTGAAGTGCCAGAGGCTGTGTCTGAGCTGGAGCTGGGGCCAGAAGTTCCATGCCAGGGGAGGCCACAGGGCCACTGGCGGTGACCGTGGCCCCAGCCTTTCTAGAGGTGAACTGAGTCCATGACATTGTTTCCTAAGCCCTTTTGATTTCCTTTTTTTTTTTTTTTTTTTTACAAAAAAGCTTCAACTGTGATTATAAATCTTTCAGTCCATATATGATATTTCTAAATTGTATGCTTTCAGCAAAGTTTCCCAAGTTTACATGGCCGTGGAAATTTTTTTCTTTCCTTTTTCTGTAAAACATCTCTCCCCGTGTGGTGTCCTGCAGGGTTTCAGCTCAGAGTGGGTACTGTTTGTTCTTCACAGGCCACTTGGCCTTACTGAAAAGAAAACTAACCTACTGAAGTCCTGGGGTGTGAGTGAGCTATTGTCGCTCCGTCATGTACATGCTCAGCCAGGGCTTTGAGGGCAGTGCTGCTGGACCCTTGCCCTCACCATGTCCTGAAGGCCTCTGTCTCTGTGGTTTTTGCTCTGTGGCTCCTCCTGGACCCAGGCTTCCTGTGGCCCCTCTGCACACTCCCTCTGTGAGCAGGACTGGCTGGGACAGGGAGGTGGCAGACCCTTCCTTGGCCCTGGCCCCCATCAGAACCACACATTCACGGCCTCATCTTCCCCAGACCCCTGAAAAAGAAGGCAAAGCTTGCAGCAAGGCTGGGAGTGTCAAAGGAGAGGTTTCTTTCTGTGCAGGGCGGTGCTGAGGTCTGCCAAGGCTCGCCGTTGGCCTTTCCTCGAGCACAGACCTAGGCTGTTTCTCTGTAGTGCTCCTCGAAGGCGCTTGTTCCAGGGCACAGCGCTCGGGCCCTGCAGGGGTGCTGGTCTCCTCTCTTCTATACTCCCATCTGTATCCTCCCCACCTACCAAGCAGTGTACTTTTTACCTCAGGACCTGGGGTGGGAGGTACTTTCAGATGGCTGATGAAGATGCTCGCTTTAGCAATGCTGATTCCCACTCTCTGTGTTTCCTTTGTTTAAACACTGAGTCCTTGTGCACTTGGGCATTTTGAGACAACTTCCTGGTGCCCACCAGGTGTGGGAGGGAGGAAGCTTTTCAGTGGCTGTACAGACCATGAGAAGGTGGTAAATGTGGGTCGTGTTCATGTGAGCCGGAAGAGATGGCTTCAAATGGACCTTCTGGTTTGGGAAGCAGTCCCGCTGGCTGAGATCTGATGTGGGGCCAACTCCCACTTCCTGTGGAGACAGACCTTGGACTTCAGTTTGTGCAGAGGGGTTAATTCTCATTCTTCCCCTTCCCCTTAACTTCTTATATGTGAATATCCTTCTGTTCCTATTGCTCTTTTTCCTTGTCTTATTAAACTTTTTAAATTATAAACTAGTGCTACCATAAAAGAGGGGAAACATACTAGTATAATCATGTGTGTACAACTGTATTATAACAGATATCCGATTATTATTACTTTTAAGATAGCATCTATTTCCTGGGTTTTGAAGAAGTGAATGGCACGTCATGGGCAAGGCTACACTCTTTCTCCCTTCCCAGAGGTCGTTTGTTGTTTTCCTTCTCGGTGGGGACTTGGGGCACAGACATGGTGGCTGGGTGGGTGTCCTGTGGAAGCCAGGTCATCAGCTCAGAGTTAGGTGGGGAGAGATGCTGAGTTTGGGGATAAGAGAAGGTGACAGATGGTCACCTACGAGAGCTGACATGTTCGGGATTACGTGCCACCTGTGTCGTGTGCTGGGATTATAGGGGACTTAAAAACAGTTAAGTCATTTGTTTCTGAATCATATTTTTTTTTAAGTAAAATACATTTTTTCTTAATTATAAAAGTAACCATGTTTATAATAGAAAAGAGTAATTATACCGAATGTGTGGGATGTTGGTTTCTAGAACGGGAAGACAAGCTTGAGACAGTGTAGACACTCACCAGTCTGATTGAGTGAGGGGTTCCAGGAGGAGGCTGGGCTGTCCAGGACACTGTGGAGGAGAACAGAGCCTCAGTGGCAGCAGGATGCATACCAGAGGCGCTGCTGTAACCAGACAGCAGGCTGGAGGTTCCATCCATCCTTTCACTGATCCTTACAGCAGCTTTGCTGGAAGGAAGGCGGGCTCCTTCCAGGCACATAAAGTATGGGGCAGGGACCCATCTCTGCTTTCCAGGTGTGCTTCTGGTGAAAGACAGCTTAGAACATGGTCTGAGCCTTGGCACCAGAAGGGGACGTGGTGGCTGACTCTCGGATGGGCTGCACCAGAGAAGAGTATCTTGTGCAGATTGCTCAGGTCCAACACGGAGGTCCAGTGCCCTCCACACATGTTCCCGCTAACTCCTGCTCCTGTCAGAGTTCAAGCTCTAAAACGAAGGTGGAATTTTTAAAAGAAAATTCTGGAATCTCAAAGAAACTCTAGAGAACTTATCCAAACTAATTTTTAAAAAAGTGAGGTTTGGCTTTAGCCATGGATTCCCAAATCTTACAGGGTATTTGACCACCACTCTGTCAAAGGGGTTATTGAATTTGTTGACATTCCTGTTGAGTTTTGGAACAGGAACTGTTTGAGGTTAGCTGGCTTCAGGAGCCTTTGTCGCCTCCCAGGCATGTTTTGCTGTTGTTTGGTTTGCTGAGGGGCCTGCACACAGGTACAGATAGGAGACCTGTGGCCTCAGGGAAAGCTTGGACAATCTTCCTCCATTGGCCCTGGAAGCTATTAATATACCTAGTAAACAGATGCCCTAGGGACAGAACCTTAGCTGGAATGCTTCTCACTTGATACTCCTGGGGTTCTGAATGGGGAACAGTAGAGGATTAATGACCACCTTTGGTAGCTTCTAAGGGCTTCTCCTGCTGAATTACTGGGCAGGGGTGGTGGGAAGGAGAGAGCTCTCTCTGGTTTCCTCGTTTTGGTGCCAGGCTTGACTCCCTGAGCTGTCATCTTCTAGCTGAAGGAACTGTCACTCAGTAAAGAGCTTCATGCAGTGGGGGCTTTTGGGCACACAGTAGGAGGCTTGCAGGTGAGGTGAACAAACAGTACACGTCTGCAGACTGAATGAGCATGTGCACCAGGGTGACAGGTTGTCTGTGGTGCTTTCCTGTCTGCTCATGTGTTTTAAATTTTGGAGTAAAAATGAAACACAGAACAAAAAGATATCAAAGTAAAATCTAGCCGTCTGAAAAACTGGAAAACAGTTCACACAGTTTGATTTACTTAAACGAATGTTGATAATGTTCCCCTTCCCTCCACTGGGTTTGCCGGAGGGGCTCTGTGAGCAGCCATGACTTATAGACTGGTTTATGAGTGTGTAGCGCACATACTGTAAAACCTGAGTGTAATTATAACTTTGTCTGTGGAGGGTGCGTTCATGAGTTTTTGGAAATGGCCTCATTCACTTTGGGGAACAGGTGAACTTATGGGCAAGGACAGCTCTAGACCAGAGGGCCCGGTTCATTGGGTGTGGTGCTGAGGAACCCTCAGATCCCAATTTCCCCTCACCATTGAAGGTTCATCACCACTCAGGGTCTGTAAAAGGTGTGACCTTTCGAGCCTACGCGTGTCAAACACCTCTTGCCTGGCCCTTCCTCCTGATCGAGAGCTCCTACGGGCAGTTGCTGTGTCTGGAAGCGCTGTGGTGCCAAGAGCAGTCTCTCTCCTGTGGCACAAAGATAAACTATATCTTTCTGCCCCATTTCTCCCCACCTAGCTCCATTGGGGAATGCTCCATTTCTCCCCACATACACCCCCACCCTTGGTCTGTGAGTGAAGGGTCAGGGTTGGGCCTAGCTGAGCTGTGGCAAGGCCAGGGAGCCAGTAGACCTGGGGAAACAGGGTCCACCTGCCTCTGATTGGTTGCATGGCTTTGAGCAGGTGGCCTGTCCTCTGAGCCTGGGTGCCTCTCTAGCATCTGGTGGCTGCTCGGCCTGGCAGAGGCCTTAGGTGACCAGGAAGCAAAGCAGGTGTCTGTGGCTGTGCAAAGCTTTCCCCTCTTGTGTTTCTGGTGCCCTCTGATCTGCCCGTCCCAGCTGCTGGCCTTGCTGCTTTCTCCAGTGTGACTGTCTCTCCCCCCTTCTCTTCGCCAGCCCAGAAGCCTTTGTGATGACACCTAGGACTCACTATTTAAAATGAAGCAAACACTGGGCAGTGCAGGGAAGCCCAGCAACTACATAGTGCTTAGAGTTTTGTTGAGAGCCCCCCAGGAGGCTTCCGTCCACTTCTCTCTTCTCTCTCTGCTCTGTTCTGTGAAGTTACAGGCATGCTGCTTTCTTAGTCAAGCACCTGAACCTACTGAATAGTTAATGTAGATGTACCTACAGGCTAGAAACCCCCTTGTGTCTGCTGCCCAGGTGCAGGGCGTCATTCACTACCTGGACGTGACACCTGGCCGACTGCAGTCTTCCTCCTGATGGCTGCTCTCCTGGTGGACGGGCCAGCGAACAGGCCAAGGTGACTGCAGGTGGCGGGGATAGGTGTGTTTGCTGGGTGCCACCAGCTCTCAACCCAGTCCCTGTCCTTCGCTGAGGGGTGGTGACCTCAGCATAGTTGTGAAGTGAATGACATTTGCCCTCTGGCAGTGACCCTAAGGTCTGACCCAAAGGTCCTTTTAAGTCCTCTTGGGACATTTGAAAGTTCTACCTGATTATTAGGTGGAGGAAAGGATGTTTTGAATTCTGGTTTTTTTGTGCCTTACAAGTGCCCCCGATGGACAGAATGTGTCCAGGGGTGTGCAATGTTGTGACACCAATTGCGGGGAAAGTGTGCTTTTCCTTTTTATTTATCCCCTC